TGCAATGCGTGCTCTATCTACTTAGATCCTATAGTGACAACGTGACAATCAAGTTTGTAAGGCGACATGTACTGGAGGGATTATTCTATGGGGAACACTCCTCAATTCAAATCGTGGGCGTCAGGTGATTGACAGGAAGCAGGGCGTAATCACAAAAGATCTCAGCAGTCAGTGACAGGTTCTGTCTCCATAGATAGATATGTATTCTGCAGCACGCGTCATTTACCCAATCACAGAGCCTGAAACGCCTCTCTGGTCCAATAAAAAACACTTGAAATATGAATGCAATTAACAAAAAAATCAAATGAAGGTTTTGTATTGACTGTGTGGATTATCTGCTGCAGTGGAGGGTGTTTTTTAGATGACACAAGCTGCTAGTTTGCACAGAAACTCAAGAATAATGGTGATGATGAATTTGCATATTTTGTTCAGCTGCACAGATTGTGTAATGTTACTGCAACTTCATAATCACCTTGGAATTGTATCATATAAAGGTTTAAAGAAATTAAAGCTGCTATAGTCAATATTTTTACATGTCAGTGGATGAAACTACTACATGTAAAGTGAATGGAGCGCTAAAAGAAGAGTGACTGTAGGACTAATACATCACATTGCATGAGACCGCTCCAAATGAATAATAAGCTTAGCGTCTGAGCGTAAAGGTGATAATATAGCCATATTTATCTGCCTACAAGTCGCCAAAAAAATGAATGAATGCAAGTTTAATAATGAAAACTGTTGCTAGCTACTGTAGATTTACTGCATCACAAAGATGGAAACCTCCACATTCTTACAACGTTATGAACAATGCAGTTACAGATATACCAACAATAGAGTTATCTGTGGCAGGCAACAAGTAATATGAATTCTTTACATCGACCTGGAGGAATGTGCCGGAAATAAACCTCCAGATAAAACCGTCTCTTTCCTGCATCTGTCTCCCTTTCATGTCAAATAATACAATTTCTGTTTGACCCACTTCCTAAAATCTGAGCAGAGAAGTATGGATGGAGCTACTTCACATCTCCCTCCTTCCATATTTCTGGTTAAGGCTTTTAATTTGTTTTTACATTCTGATGTGATTTTGTTATTTTTGGCTCAAATATTTGACCTTTGTGACCATTGAGCACCAATCTTTGGGTTTTGATTGAGGTTGCATCACTCTACATTGGTGTAAGTGTGTGTGTGTGAGAAGAGTAAAGCGGCAGCGAAGGACTACGCTACTGCTGAACTGGGTCGTGGGTAACACGTTGCTATGGCAACTGCTATTTGCCGGCCCTGGGGCCAAGCGCTGCTTTTCGCTTACACTTTCTCTGTGTCTCTCACTCTCTCGCTCTGCTTCTTCTCTCTGCTCACTCGCTCTGCCTCTTTCTTCACCTCCTTCTCTCTTTCTACTCTTCCCTCTGTTCCTCTGCTCGCTCTCTATAGATCTCTCGCTCGGCCGTCCTCTCCATTCACCTCTGCTTTTCTTAATCTCTCTCATACTCCTCACTTATGCCACCATTCCTTCTAAGTTTTTCTTCATCTCCCACCCTCATCCCTCCCTTTTGTCTTTGCGTGTGGAAAAAACAAAAAGAGGAGGCGTCTATCATCATTCTTTGGCTTAACTGTCACCCACACTCCCAAATTGAAATACTAATTCTTAGTGTCTTAGTTTTGTCCTGCAGCTCCTTTGGAAGCAGGGTATGCTAATGCGTAATTGCATTGCGTTGCACGGTGAAATTATTTGCACCTTCACACACAGACTGTAAAATGTTCCCACAAACTGATGCATCGTCCTCGAGCTGAGATTGTCGGGATGATATACGACACAGCATTGTAACAGGGGCTCAACATATTGTCTCAGCGATTAACTCCAGCTGGCTCACTGTAAGTACGGCGCGGGCGTGCAGTCATATTTCAGAGCAAGAGCAGAGAAGAAGAAAAGCAGGGCAAAGGCAGAGACAGAGGTAGCGAGAGGCAGTGAGGTATAAACGAGAGCGATGGGTTGGCCTCAGTGTGTCACCTAAATTCTACTCTAATGAATAGTCCATTGATTTCCATTAGGGCTGGCTGGAGCTGACCGCTCCGACCTGTCTGTTTCCCATTAGCACACTTTAAAACTGAGCCTGATAAACGGTCATAGCCAGAGGCGGACCGGATGAGGGCCCCTGTTTAGGGTTTAAATGGAACCTATAGATTCATCCATGAAGCTGCATGGGGCGAGAGAAAGAAAGGGTTAACAGCAGAGATAATACGACCCTGAAATGTCAGACACGCAGTCTGTGGAATTTGTCTTAGATTCAAGTTTCAAATGAGCAAAATAAGCGAAAAGGCTCCTTTCCACACCTTTAAAAGAGGTAGAGTCAAACTCCATGAATATCAAGATGATGTCACCTGGAAATTCTGGATTTGCATTTGAAAAAGCAGAATTATCCCGTCTCACTGACAGGTTTTATTCTCTTCTCCAAATAAAAAAAGACAGACTAACCTACTAAATTACCTGTTGAGATTGACCTTTTATAGCGAGATGGAGTGTCAGTGCAGAGCAGCTTTTAAACAGCCTCCCGGTCATCATTGTATCGACCAGTGAGTCCACTGCCCCCCCACCCCACCCCCCCGAGGCCTGGCCTGTTCCTCGGCTCAGGATTTTAGAGCCACACAGCCTTATCAGCTCCACCTCTCCATCAGCCCGCTTCCTTCATTAACATTAATAGGATTTGGATCTATTATGCAACGAGGCTCCACTGTGTTACGCAAGGCAGAGTCTTCATTGGCAGCAACACACTTTGGAGGGGAGCAGTTGCTTCTTAGAATTACAGCTTGGGTCTTTTTTTCTTTTCCCCACTCAGACATGGACTGTAGGGGTTTTCAATATGTGTCGGCACGTGAACCCTGACTGAGGTCAGAAATATTATTAGCTTTCAAAGTATTTGCTCATAAACTACAAATACTGGAGAAATTCAAGTGTTGACGTGATGATGGCGTTGGGTGAAGTCATTAATGAATCCATCCTGAGGGGGACAGGAGGATGTTTGTACTAAATCTGATGGCAATCCATCCAATAGTTGTTGAGATATTTTAAATCATAAATAATACGGCTGAAGAAAAGCTTCATAGGTTTGAGGTTTGTAGAATTTAAAACATTTAGGTTCAGTAAGTCGTCATTTTTCCTCCAGCAGTCATTCAGTTGATGGCTCTTCTTGCCCTCAGGGGGCCTGAAATCAATCTGCTCTTTTAGACTCATCAATAACAGCTGTCCACAGGCTTGTAACACGACCTGGCTTGAGCGGTCGATTAAAAAAAAAAAAAAAAAAAACGACTGGGAGTGCACTAGCAGGCGAGGGGGTTTTCATTTCAGAATAAAATGACTCTCTTGTTGTGTTTTGGTGGGGATGTCATCCTGCAAAACGAGCACGTGAAAGCCTTGAGTAGTGTCTGTTTGTGTTTGTGTTTGTGTGTTTGTGTGTGTGTGGTTTAATTGCTTCCTGTGGAAGGATATCACCTCACGTCATCGGCTGTCAGAGTCTGCTGACTGAGTTTGATGTTGATGAAAGCTGTCAGAGGGGCTTGGCTCCTGCTTGTGTGGAAGTGAGAGTGAATCTCATGTTCTCATATGATCACCTGTCATATACGGTATATATCATAATGGACCATCACCGGCACCAAGTGTGTGTTGTTCTCTAATGCTTGGTATCACCTCAGTAGCAGGGGCCGTCAGGACGGATCCCTCTGTGTCTGCAGAGCTGCACGTACATGCTTTAAAGACGTGTTAATCACGTTTTCGAGTCTTGACAAATAGAAATGTTCAGATTCAACAAACTTCTCAACATGAAATAATGATGCTTCAGAGTTGCCAAATGGAGCAGGTTGTCATGGAAACAGCAAAGTGGCACACACAAGACAGTTCATTTTACCTTTTTTTTTTTTCCCTGAGTAACTTCCGGCTTCGCTGGAGGAGCTATTTTTAACAGGCATTATATAAGATGCAACTCGTGTGCTCAATACAATGCGTTATTTCCCCTCCTTTTCGTCCCTGTTGGCTGTGATGGGAGCAGGATGCACCGCGCTCTCCCGTACCTGCACATCTCAAGCTCACAACTCACAGGGGAAAGCTTTGTGCGGTGCTGCGGTTAATGGAAAACAAAATTTACTAATTCATCATCATCACTCTGTAGAAACTGCTGGAGCAGGGGGGGGGGGCCTTTTTGAGCGTTCATCATCATTTTGGAGTTAAAATGTTCTCATGTCGAATCAGCCTGTTTTTAATTGCACCGGAATAACAAATAAGTGACGCATCACATCAGTCTCATTCACATCTTCAGTATTTTACAGGCTCAACTCTTTTAGCCCTAGTGTTAAACGTCATTTCTCTGGTGCCCTACAAAATGGCTCAAGTCATTTATTTTGACATGATTTATTTAGGAGTTCATGACTTATTCATGCAATCTGGTCTTAGGAAAGAATAAAAACTTTTGAAATTTTTCTTTAAAGACAAAAGGGAGATGGAGTAGGATGTGAGCATGTGGCACGGCTTTACATGCAATATTCAGCAGCCCCAGCTGAGCTCAAAGTGAAGCCACGCTAACTGTGAAAGATGCTATGATTAGCCTCCCGACATGCCTGACAGGGAGAAGCGTTGTTCCTCTCTTGTAGACTTGGAGAGACGAGCGTGACGCTCCTGCATCACGCCTGCTTGACTCAGCCCCAGCAGCATGAACGTGAATCTCGCAGGTTTCTGCACATGAGCGATGATCAAACAGCGGCGGGCAAAGTGTTGCACCGAGTGTCATCACCAGAGCTGATTGAGCCACTTTATGAGGAGTCACGTTGCAGTTGTTCAAGCAAACATTTTGTTTGCAATCGGGCCATTCGCCATTTTTTGCTTTCAGATCTGACCTAGATGTTTGCTCTTGCATCCTCCTTCAAGTATTTTTAGCTAAATGCAACAGGAACCTCTTCCTATCTGTGAGTGAATTCTCCTCTCTCTGTCCCCCCCCCCACCCCACCACCCTGTGCAGGATGCTTCGAGTGCTGCATCAAGTGTCTGGGCGGGGTGCCCTACGCCTCCCTCGTGGCCACCATCCTCTGCTTCTCAGGCGTGGCTCTGTTCTGCGGCTGCGGCCATGTGGCGCTCACCGGCACCCTGACCATGCTGGAGAACCATTTCTCCAGGGTCACCAGCGACCACGCCACCCTCACCATGGTGTAAGTCCTCCGTGTGGATCAAGCACTAGTGTGACCAGAACATACTGGTTCTACTGGCTGCATGGGTGCAAAGATGCCAAGTGCAGCTTTAAAAGCCCTCTGTCATTACTTAGCTTTTTTTTTTTCTTTTTAAATCTCTTTTCCTCCAGGATCCAGATCTTTCAGTACATCATCTACGGCATCGCCTCCTTCTTCTTCGTCTACGCCATCATCCTGCTGGCTGAGGGATTTTACACCACCAGCGCCATCAAGAAGGAGCTGCAGAGCGACTTCAAGACCACCGTCTGCGGACGCTGTATCACCGCCTTTGTATGTCAACACACACACACACACACACACACACACACAAGCAAGCAGCTGCTGCGAATCATCACACCCACTGACCCAGTTCACTCCAAATGAAAGCCTGTAAATGAGATGTAATTACTTTGATGTGTATTTTATAACATTCTTGCTTAAAATAGTGTTTACAGGCTTAGAAAAATGAGCACAGAACAGTCATCCATTATGCTTTACGAGCCCGGACAAGAGTCATCTTGAAAGTGTTGCTGAGGCACAATCACACACCTTGACACATGCATGGACACACACACATTAGGCAGATACAGATATGCAAACACTTGTGCACACACAGAATCCCACTCGAGCCTTGAGGGTAACTCTGGCACAGTTTGTCCTTTCTACCCTGATTACTCTAATTGCTGCAGATGTCCAGTAGCATTAGCTTGAGCATGGACTGCGGATGTGTGTGTGGTGGTCTTTAAGGACAATATTAACCTACTTTTTATAATGCAATTCAAACTATAGGGACTGAGTGATTCTGACAAAATCTAAATCTCCTTTCTTTTCACCTCTCTCCTCTCCTCAGTTCATGTTCCTGACCTACATCCTCGCTCTGGCCTTCCTCGCTATCTTCGGCTTCACGGCCATCCCCGTGTTCCTCTTCTTCAACATGTGGACTACCTGCGCCGCCATGAAGTCTCCCGACGCCAACATCACCTCGCCTGACTCCATCTGTGTGGACGTCAGGCAGTATGGTAATTTAGACGGTTATATAGTTTTTAGCGGTGTTGTAATTTAACAAAAATCCGAATAGCTGCAAGTTTAGACCGCACTGACCAGAGGCTATCTTTAAAATCATTTGGAAAAGCATGGTTGTCAGACTTCATTATTAAATCTGTTCGCTGGAAAGATGAAGCAAAAACATTCTGTAAAGTGAAATAAGAAAAACTTCCCAGTGCAACATGTTGCATATCCCTGGTGCGTTTTGATTTGCAGCTAAAGCAGACAGGACCAGATCCCACGCTGCGTTGCACGTCCTCGAAGTTTAAGAGAAATTCCTCCTGATCAAGGAGAGGGAGCTCAAAACACGCCGGCTGGCTTTGGCAATAAAAGCTTTTAAGTCTGCACATAAAACAACGTCCCGGCGCTTCTTACACATGTGGCCCAGACTCACCTGCAGGAGAGCAAATCATAAAAAAAAGAAGCCCACAGTGTGAATCAGAAGGCTTCTCACTCTTCAGCCACATCACATATTCATCTCCTGCTGCTTTAAATGTCATTTTCTATACGGCAAGAGGTCAAAACACATTTAGATTATTGAGAGCCTGATTGGGTCTGTATGAAAATCCACCTTACACAGCAACGCTCTCTTGTGATTGCATATCTGCTTATCTGTTGGACGCCCTAATGTACAGTATGTGACCCACATTTGAAAGACAGCTGGCCCGCTCACAAAGTAGGATGAGGCTCACATATGCTTCACTGGCAGTCAAACTCAGTATGAAATAGTAACCCCAATTACTGGCAGTTACAAGCTGATTGATGAAGGATGTTTTTTCATCACTACTGTAAGAGTCTTTACAGATTGTATAATAATGTTAATAATTGTTTTAATGAGAGGAATTTATAAAAATGTCAAAAAAGAGACTAAAACAGGCAGAAACAGCTTTAAAAAAAAAAAGAAAAAGTCTCTAACTTCACAGTCTGTAAAAATGTTTTGACAGGAAAGAAGTGATTCAAAAATAATGACCCATATTTTTCCTGTAGGAGAGGCTCAGAGGCTGGAACAGCAGCAGCCCTGTTTCCTTTAATCTTTATCCGAGCCTAATTCATAAAGCCTTCAATCATACAGTCAGTCTCGGGGGAGGAAAAAGCTTCTTGTCTCAGATGAGAAAGCTGTGACGTCTCATCTCTCTGATCCTGCAGGTGTTATTCCCTGGAACGCCACACCAGGAAAAGCTTGCGGAGCCACACTGGGAGACATCTGTAACACAAGCGAGGTGAGAGGACACTGACCTGACCTTCTTGCTTTCGTTTCTTCCTTTTTTTTTTATCTCCTCAGAGCTAATTTACTCTTGTCACCCACAGTTCTACCTGTCCTACCACCTTTACATTGTCGCTCTAGCCGGAGCCGGAGCCACTGTCATCGCATTGGTAAGCTCCTCGTGATCCCACTGATAATGTGCGGCCCAAAAATATGCATGTTGCTATGGCGTGCTTATCTGTTGCCATAGCAACCCCGCCTCTCACGTTTATCACTATGTCATCTCATGGGTTGAAATCTTATCCTGCAGCCTGCCTCTGTGTGCGAGCGTGTGCTGACAGAGGGTCAGTGTTTCACTCTGCTGTGGAGGCGGACCTTTCTGTTTCGTGTTTGAATAAATGGAGACTAAAAAAAGCGAGTAGCAACCTTCCAGATGTTGTGCCGGGTCACCTGAAAGCCCTTCTGCACTTGGATGTTTTACAGCTCACTTTGAGTAGGAGGTAGAACGGGATTACGTTTACATCTACATTTGGAAAGTTCTAAACCAGACCGCGTGATTTCACCAACAGCAACTGCTTCTTTTGCAGCAGCCTTATTTCACTCACAGTTAATTCGTGGAATCACCTGCAGTCTTTCGCTCTGATCAAACCTCCACACGCTCCACCTGTATCCCAGCTCCACACTGCTTATTACTGTTATTTCTAAGCACTTAGCAGCTAAAGAGAGACATTTCCCTCGTGTGTTAATAGAGACCAAAAACAGAGGTAAAAGAGAGGGAAAACCTACTAAAAACCTGCTTGGAATTAGCTTGCAGTAAGGAATAGGACACAGTTGCACTTTGATTGGCATCTATTTGCACAGCATTTCTTGTTACGTAGACAACAGTGAACTGCGTTGATTTCCTCTGACAGTTAGCATGTAGCATGGAATCAGGGAAACGGTATCCTGTGCCTAAAGTAGATGAAATAAACCTCTGTTTCTCTTCAGATCCACTACCTGATGATCTTGGCGGCCAACTGGGCCTATCTGAAGAGCGCCGTCTCCACGCACGAGTACCAGGACATCAAGACCAAGGATGACCAGGATCTGGAGGCTGAGGCGCGCTCCAAGGAGGGCCAGAACTCCTCCTCCTACTCATAAGGACAAGAGATCCTCTCCAGCCGCCACCCATCTCCGCTCCACACCTCAACCCCCCACCCTACAACAACCCAGCGCCCACCCCCTCCCTCCGTTAAAACAAACCACCTCGGTCATGTTTGATAGTCCCCCCAGCCTCCTGATTCTCCATCCTCTTCCCTTCCCCGATGTTGATTAAGAGTTGTGGCAGCGTACCCACAGCAGAGGGGAAGAGAATAGAGGGTCAGGAGAAGCGGAAGGCCCAGACGGAGGCAGATGTTTCAGAACGGGAGAGCCCGCCCCGCCGGGGTGGAGCTCAGGTACGGTACATCAGTTCAGAAGCGTCTCCTCCCCCCCGTGCTTTTGGGGCGGCGGCTCGTGAACGTGGCCCGGCTGTGATGGCCTCGCGCCCTGAGCCAGCACAGCCTCTCGACACACAGCTCCTAACAGCCTAAAAAAAACATTGTTCACTGTCAGCTTCAGCCACAGGGAAGCCAAGCAGCGACCAACTTCCTCTGTTTTTTTGGTGTTTTATATGCATATATATATGAATATGAATATATTGTGCGAATGTGTATGAATGTTGTTGTTTTTTTTAATAACTCTCTGAAAAGTATGCCAGGTACTATTATGATCTTTTTTCTTCTTTATGTTTTGGCGCTCATAGGTTTTTTTTCTCCTTTACTTTTCTTCTCCATCCTTAACTTTTTATTGCTAATGCTCGATATGTGTTGCACTATTTATGAAACAAAAAAACAAGGAGGGTGAAAATCCCTTAAAAACACAAGGGGAAAACACACCCCCCCCCCGTCTCTCATAGAAAACCCCTCAAATCATGTGGTATCTCAAGGATTAATTGTGCGTTTACATGATCAGAGTTGATTTATCCACGAAGGTATTTACAGATAATTTAAGACCAGAGGTGCAGCAAACTTTTTTAAAGGAATAGTTGAAATATGATTGTTTTTTTTGCCAACAGTTAGTTGAGAAGATTGATACCTCACTCATATGTGTATGGTAAATATCTGGCTTCAAACAGGAAGTAGCTTGGTCTGGTTTAGTCAGAATATGAAAAAATTCACCTAACAGCCCCTCTAAAAATTAGAAATTAACCCGTTTTTTAATTTGCACAAGAACCAAAGTCTAAAAACAAGTTGTGGTTTTACAGGGGGGTTATTTCTCGGCTAGATATAGGTTACTGTATTACTTAATGAGATTGGCTGATTTTGTTTCTTTCCCCCATTTCTAGATAAGCGTTTACTTGGTATTTTCGAGAGTAGTATCAATGCTCTCATCTAAGTCTTGGCAAGAAAGCAAATACAAATCGCAAAATGTCAAACTATTCCTTTGAAGATCTTTACGGTTTTTGCTACTCTCATCACCAGCGGCAGCAGAAATCAAAGATAAATCTGTCCGGGTCTTTTAAGGCAAAGAAGACACACACCTCAGGTATCAAACTAAATCTGATTTTAGTCAGTTGTGTTCCTTTTCTAAACCTTCACCATCTAAACGCTAACCCTCACCGGATTGGTACGCTGTCCCGTGTGAATTATACAGTCAAACCTGTTCTCTCATTTTCAAAAAAAGAATTCCTCCTTTTGCGAATGAAGTTCACCTGTAAATAGCCAAATCACCCTAAAAGATCTCGATTTACACTTCTCCCAAAAAAAGGGGAGAAACACAATCAGTGTTTTGCCATGCTCTTCTATTATTATTTTTTTCCACAAATATATGTAAATGTACCCTTTGAGATATGTGTTTAGCACTCAAATACTAGTTCTGCATTTGATATAATAATTGTAATGTAACATCTTAAATGATATGTCGTGAGAGGGATACAGTACAGTCATGATATGATATGATGGATGGAGGTGATTGTGACGTATACATTTTAAAATGTGAAAAAAAAAATATGGAAATTGATTTTTAATGTTTGATCAGTTTTAGGCAGCTGGGTTCTTCTTGTGATTCAGTAATAATGATTTTATGGATCTTGTTTGTGCTTATTTTTCAATGGCCAGCCAAATGAGTGACTCAACACGCCAGTTGAGGAAAATGTCATTTTTTTTCTCTTTATTTTTCCTTTTTATTTTTATCGTCATGCCTCTCACATGAGCCACAGAGACTGTTTTGGATGTTTACACTCAGAATAAAACAAGTCAGGAATTTTCATACATTAATTTTATAATCAAATATTGTTTAATAATCATAAACTATATTCTATATTGATCATCACTGGTTAGTTTACCCTCAAAAAACACTGAAGAAGACAAAATTTTTGAACTTTGATGAGATGAAGCATGTCAGTATCGTCCATGTGTGCAGCTGTCTATTCTGTATAAAAAAGGACTATATTGCCATGTGTGTTATGTTTGATAAATATACGTGCTTTGCCGCCAGGTTGATGTAAAGGCAAACTTCAGTTTCCTATAGGACGATGCGTGTCAGGGTGTTGTTGTTTCCTCGTTATTTGCATGAAGGAGACATGACTGTGTCTTTGCAGTTTTTCAGGTGATGTGTAGTCAATTGTACTGACAACTATGGTAGGCGGTGTTTGCCCCTCTTCCTCCACAACCCCCCTTCCCCTTTCCACCCACTCTTTTCTAAAGAAAACTCCATTGTACTTTGATGGCATTGTAGTCCCTGTAGGTGTTTCATTATGGTTTTATTTTTTAAGTTGGAAATAGTTCTATGACTCCTATATAGTGATGATTTTTGTAACCTTCTCTAGTAAAACCGATATTTTTTATTATCGTGACACCGTTGTCTCCTGCCTCTTTCTTGAGTTTGGGTCTCTGAAGTGATTTAAATTTTTTCTTTTTCTTGTATGGATGCAACTAACTAATTATAATTTTTAGTATCGAATAATCTTCTGATTTATTTTCTCTAATAATTGATTGTTTTTATTCTATAAAACATAAGAAAATTGAGAAAAAGTCCAAAGTGACCTCTTCGATTTGCTTTTTTTGTTCAACCGACAATCTAAAACTCAGAGATAATTAGTTTACTATAATGTAAGAAAAGAAAAATCAGCAGTTCCATACATTTTGAAAGCTGGAAACATTACATTTTTGGTATTGTAAATATATAAATCAATTCATGTTGCCCATTCTACATATTTTACTACAAAATAAAAGACAGCTTTTTAATTGTAACCGTAGTAAATTAAATCCTACATTTTCACAGCATTTGTCTGCTCTAAAGAAGTCACTGTTGCAACAGGTGATGCCAGTAAAGTTAATCAGCCAGTGACTGCTGCCTCCACAAAGTGAACCACCTCTCACTTCCAAGGAAAATAGCAGGCAATTTCTCAAAGTCACTACAATTTGCCAAATGACGTCATTGGTTTATTTCTAAGGAAGCTTGACATCAAATCAGGATGTGTTTTTTTTTATCATTACAGTTGTGAAACTACTGAATACTCACAGCTGCCGACATGGACTTCTCTGTGGGAGTTTCAAAACTACGAACCCATGGTCCGCCCACACAGGTGTTTTCACTTACACTGCCTGATTAGACGGTAATTAACCCACATCTCTCTCACCCTCACATTCATTTTGTTGCTACTATTATTCAAACAAAACATAATTCTTATAATAAATACATACAGCTTGATGGACCCCACATTTTTCCCACATTCAACCTGACCACTAAGTGAAAAGGCCTGTGTGTGTGTGTGTGTGTGTGTGTGTGTGTGCGTGTGTGTGTGTGTGTGTGCGTGCGCAGAGCCTAAATTAATATTAAATACTTTGACATAATTGTGTCTCTAGTGTAGAGCATGAATTACATTTCAGATAGAGACATCAGTTTACTCATGTTACTATGAAGCCACTGGGTGTTTGTATCTCATACTTTTGATACAATGGTGCCGCCTTGTGGACAAACTGCGTACTGCTCTTCCAGTGCAGCGCTAATGAAGATCATACAGTGTAATAATAGCAACTTCAGTTTCAGCAGTGAAGGGGAAAGGAGGGGTTAGTGATCAATAAATACAACATCTATTTATGTAAAAATAACTACTAGAAATGTCTTTTCTTATTTAGAGGAACATCAAATATCATCATGGCATCACTGGTATCCCAAAAAAACAACAATGAAAATTGAAATTATTAAAAAAAAAGAAAAGAAAATAGTTGATTAACCCCATAAAATCTGAAGCATTTAAATAATTTATATATCAGATAGACAGTGGTACTATGGACATAGATTTTTACGTACCTTCATATCTGGTGTTTATCAAGTTTATTATAGTAGGAAAATTGACATTTTGTGAGTGCAGTAATGATATTTTAGTTGTTTTGTACTGGCAGTTTGTGTATTTAAAGACCTGAAAGTCATTTTGGGAGCATTAGCTGGTTCCAATCCTGTATTTCAAATTTTGTTGTGTGGGTAACTGCATCTGCTTCTAGAGGCAGACAATACTCTGAAGACTTCTCTTTGTGTGGGCTACAACCTCTGACCACAGGTCCATCCGTCACGTCAAGACTGTTTTTTTACATTAGAAATAGAATGTTTAGAGAACTGCGACTACTTTAAAGGTGAAGAGTCTAACTTTTGTCAGAAAGCCCCTTCAGGACACTAACCTTTGACCATAAAGTAGTGTTTAAACTTTCTTCAATTTCCGGTCGTTGAGTGACAATGAGGTTTGTCAGTAACCACAAATAAATCTATAAAATCTGCAAAGACATATCAGAAATGTTATTTTATTAAATGTTTTTTTAAATGTTTTTCATAAATTAATAATTATGTCTCCAAAAGGAACCAAATATAAGCTGATCCAGGACAGTTTTTTGTCTCTTGATGGTGTAAAAATGCAGAATATAGGAACAAAACATTGTCAGTTTTGGTATATAAGATATATCATGTTTGGCTTACAATTGCTGATCCTGGTCGAGAGTCAAAAGTCGACCAGGATTTGTACAGAAGCTGCTGAGCAAACACCAGTTCCTCTTTTTGTAGAATCACAAACCACACACATCACACCCATACAGTACGTGACGACTGCAGAAGCATCTCGTGCGCTCCTGCTGCGTCACTCAGCTCAGCAGCAGGTGGGATCAGAGTGAGTCTTCTTCTCTAAGTCCACTGTGTTGGTGTGGATGAGGTGATCAGCTCTGTCATCCAGCGCCAGGATACGGCGCACCGCCTCCTCGAAGGCCGATGCCACGTTTGTAGCATCCTTGGCGCTTGTCTCAAAGTACGGGTGTCCGCCGTTGTCGCGGCACCACCGTCTCACATCCTCCCCTGACACCTGACGTTCGGGGACATCCAGTTTGTTGCCCAGAACCACAAAGGGGAAGCTGTCAGGGTCCTTCACGTCGGCATAATAAGCGAACTCCTTCTTCCAGTTGTCCAGGTTGTGGAAGCTCTGTCCGTCGTCCAAGCTGAAGGTGAGCAGGCAGCAGTCGGAGCCGCGGTAGAAAGGCGTGCGGAGGCTGCGGAAGCGCTCCTGACCCGCTGTGTCCCAGATCTGCAGAGTGACGTGGTGCCCGTCCACCTCCAGCTCCTTGTTGAGGAACTCCACGCCGATAGTGTGGAAGAGGTGCGAGTCAAACTTGTTGGTGACGTAGCGGTTCATGAGCGACGATTTGCCGACGCCGCCGTCGCCCAGGAGGATCACCTTCAGGAGAGCTGACTTGGACATCATGGTGGCGGTGGGCTGGCTCAGGCCTGCTGTGGTCTTGCCAGTCTGCACCAAGAGACTTCACCAGAGTTTGTAGACACCAAACGATGGAGAAACTTTCACCTTTGGAGCAGGAAAACTTTAAATTAACTTAGGAAAAGCAACAATGTCATAATGAACCTTTGAATTCAACAGAAAATTAATCAGCAACTATTTTGATAACCAATCAATCATTTATCAAAAATGCCAAACTAGTTCCCTTGTTCCAACTTCTCAAACGTGAGGATTTGATGCTTTTGTTTGTCATATGATAATAAACTGAAAATATTTGGTTGAATAAAACAAGCTGCATGAATACTTCACCTCAGGCTGTGACAAATCATAATGAGCATTTTCACTATATTCTCATATTTAATTGACTAAAGGGTTAATTGAGAAAATAATCATTGGTTGCAGCCCTAATGTAGTCACATTAAAAAAAATAATCTACATGAGAAAAGTTAAGTTATTTATTAATTTTGTCACTTGAAACTATTTAAATTATTAACTAGTTTGGACCTCATGTGAACTTTCTGGCCGGTTCCGGTGTCTGGAAACAGAGAATACTACAGTGAAGTTTGGATATGGAGTGACGATATATTTTGTTTGCACACAGTATGAGAAGATCTATCAGCAATCTGGAAACAGCGACTGCATCTAAAGCAGAAGTAAGATTTGCTTTACTTTCACACAGTTTCGAACTGACGTGGGTCTGTAAAAAATGATATGAAAACACCAGCTGCCGACGGGACGGTATGACAGTTTGGTTAACAGTTTGGCCTTCGTTAGTATTTGGTGTCATTTTGTTTACTGACTCTTTACCTTTGGCCTCGCAGATACAAGTTGTGTTGAGATAAGAACAAACTGCATCTTCATCAACTTTCACTTTGCTGTGAGGCGGCGACACTGACTGTTTACATGTTTCCTCACACTCTGACTGTGAGGAGAACTGATTGAAGTCAGTCGACTAGCTAATCCTATTAAACAGCCACTGCCCCCTCATTACACCGCACGACTAATGAACTTCCTACACAGCGTCGAGCATGTTATGCATGAAGCCATCGCAGCAGCCCATCACATGAACGCTGATCACAGGACCAGTGAGTCGTCCGCAAGCAGTGCAATTCAACGAGAGACAAGAATCGATTTCTCACCGTTACATCTGCTCACACTTCATTTTGTCAACAATCTGCAGGAGACAGAGAGAAGGTATTTAACTGCACGGATCACAAAGTGGCCAAAAGACTTCACCCACTCACAGGCTCAGCTGCTAAAAAGCGACTAATGAGGATTTCAGTGTGAGTTTAATCCCGGCACTGCACATTTGCATCCCAGTTGAGGCTCATGGCAATCACCCCACCTACACCCCGGAACCAAGCTCGCTGATGTGAGTGTCCTGAGACAGATCTTAAAGAGCGTGGTTTTTAAACGCCAGTGAGGGGGAGCTTTGTTATAATGAAGAGGATCAGCTCCTCCGCCACAGTTAAGATGGAGCACCGGCCCATCACTGGCTGTCATGGCAGCAGGAAGTGCGTTTGAGTACTTTCAGTAGGGCGAGTGTGCGTTATTCAAAGTAGAGGTGAGATAATTAATCAGTGGCTAATTAATCAATTAGTTGAAATATAAATATAAAAGGAAAATAACAAACATTTGCTGGTTTTCTCCTCCTCAAATGTGACGACTTGATGCTTTTGGTTGCTGGTAATATACTGATCAACCCATTAACTAAGAAAATAATCATCTTATTTTTCCTTACATTACTCTCCAAGGGAACAAAGATCAGACTGGGTATTGCTATTTGATTTTCAGCACCTGAGGGTCGGGGTATGGTGTAATTTTGAAAAACGTATGAGGTTTCACTGAATTCTTCAATTCCGTGATCTAAGCTGATTACTGTACAGGTGTTGGATGGACGCAAGTTAAAGTTAAAGCTCCATATTTGAATCCAAATTTGATTACACACCTCTCCGGCCAATAAAACCTATTTGTATGTTACCAGACAGGAGAGTGCACACAGTCTGCAGCCAACCGACTGAGCAAATCCGCAGCATGTTGGGAGAAGTTGAACTACTTGAAGAGTTAAACTGCTGCGGCCTATAGTGGCATATTGGCTGGACTGTCACGTGAACAGGCAGCAATGCACATTTTCAGCCCAATTAAGGACCAGCATTGAGTAAATGATGTCTTTGTCCTGGGAGCTTTAAACACAGACTTTCCTCAGGGGAAGCATTAATGTTTGCAAAATATAAAAATAAATAAAATGAAAAATAAAACAAGGCAATGCAATACCGAAGCAGGAATAAGTGGACACACACACACACACACACACACACACACACACACACACACACACACACACATAGTCACACACTCAGTAGTCATGTGCTTCATTCAGCAGAAGGCTCCCATTTATAGAGGAGGTTGCTCTTTTGGATTATTTCCTATCAATAAATTACTACTTCCTCCAAACAACAATTCACCACACGATTTGATTCAAACCTACAAAATATCATATTTTGATGTGTGTTTTCTAAATTCATATGTTAGATCAGGAGAGTAATAACACAAATACACTTGGACAATAATTACATCATAATTACAGTGTTTGAACAAATCCTTCATTTTTTTCGGGGGGACTAGCAGCCAAACCAGGGCGCGGTTAATGCTGCTGCCAGTTATTCTTCTTTACAAACACTTTATGTCTTTCAACACTTTAGCTGAAAGCGTTAAGTTGCAGGAAAGAGCGAGAAGAAGATAGAAAACAGATGGAGTATAACAGAAACTGCAAGTTACTCGTGTAAAATAGGGAATTAGCATCACCGATTTCGGTTAGCATACACTCACTCCTACGAGAAGTTTATCACATTTAAAATGGCCTACACTTTCATTTACACGCTCCAGTATCTGATCCTGTTTATTTGTGTTTAGTCGCTGTCAATATTTTGGGGATAAATGTGGAAAAAAGCGAAACGTCCAGGGGTTGTCCGACAATGGAAGCTCGGTCATATACTATCGCTGTCCGATAATGCGTGCGCACGCATTGCCACGCTCTTACCGATTAAAACAACACAAAGTCATTATTTTCGCCACTGAAAGGATAGTTTCGTCATGTCGGTATGCGTACCTGTCAGTTTGGTGGTCACTGCCTGGTTAAACTCCCGTCATCCATCCCGGCATGGTGTTGCTGTCAGCCGGTGACACAGCGTTCCGGTGTCCCCGCTGCACTCTGGCCCCCGGAGCCGCTGGTGACGCTCATATGACCCGGGAGTGTCACGCCTCCTCTCATCATGCGCCTGCCTGGATGCGGTCAGTGCATCCACATTGTATTGTATTGTATGTTTCATCTTTGTGGGAAAAAAATACTCTCTTTGTTCCTCTTATTTGCACATGTTACTTTTCAAATACTATTTTAAAACATGGGGAATATTTTATCTTAAACTAGGTCAGGGAGGTCACTGGGTTAGTGGTTCCCATATTGGGAGTTCGGCCCTCCAAAAACTTCCTACATAAATATGAGGGGTGACAACATGACTAGTGTAATAGAAAAGTTAAACATATTACAATTATGTTGAATTTTTCTAACTTTTCTCAATTTCTTTTGCTTTTTTTGTGAAATACAAGATATTTTCACCACCTCTGGGCTGTAAAAATCCTTGAATGAAGCGCACTAAAGACATACATTGTGATTAGGGGTCTCACATAAATACTGATTTGTTTAGAGGGATCACAAGCTAGAAATGTTGGGAACCATGACCTGACAATTTGCTGCAACTAAGGACTAATAGCTCTGTGTTTATTCCAATATCTCTTGTGCATTGTTAATATTTTTGCACTGCAACAACACAAGTGCAAAGCCTTTACAAATATGCATCTCTGCATTAAGAAAGGGCCCCAAACCAAATAACTTGATTACTTAAAACTATACTCTGCTTGTATCTGTGTGTAAGGGAGAGAAGGGGAAAAAACAGAGCATTGATTTGACCGGCCACCATGACTGAAAGGGTGAAATCCTTCACACAGCACAACAACCAAAAGATAGAGAGCGTCTGAAAGGAGACACAACACAGAGAAAGAGCTGCCACATTCCTACTGTATCTGACTGACAAGATACTGCAGCTCCATATCTGAAACCATGAAAATAGCCATGACAAAGGGGGGGGGGTTATCTTCGGACATGCCTGATTTGTCCTTTAAGACCAGCTTGAGGATGTTGGAAAAGCATGTTTACAAATGAAATGCACATCTCAGATCTCTCTCACTGTCAGTTTAGGAAGTGTTTTTTATTTTAAAAAAATGTGTAGTGCAAATAAATCAAAAATAAAGAAGAACAGCCAAAACAACATTGAAGACAGAACAGCCTGGTTCAGACAAACCAGCTAAGAATACAAATGAGTGATTTAAAGTGTTTTCTGAGACGACTGCACAGTGAAGGCCCCTCAATGTGATGTCACGATGATGTATAAATGAGTCACTGTGCCACGTCGACTGACTTTACAGAGAGTGGGCCATCAGGGGATATCCACCCCTGCGGATTACTGACTCACATGCTCGCCGTTTACTCAGGTCACATGTCTCATCCACTGGATCCAGTTTCCTCCAAATGAATGGGATATTGTAGAAAGCCAGGGGCATGTTCTCTTTCTTTCTTTCTCTTTCTTTCTAAGGAATTTACTCTACATTTATAGCCGGGTTGACTTATAATAAGTGCAACAGAACACACTTTTTTCATACAGATTTAAAAGAATTATACATCCTTAGTGGCTTTGCTTGATTCTGAAAGAGAAAGCGTAAGAGAGAGAAGCCAGGAACAGCAGCTAAATGGTCTACTGTAAGGAAAGATAAAGTGACGGGCAATTAGTGTCAAGGATACAGGAAATGATTCAGCAAGGAGAAGATGACGAGAGCTACTTCTTGAAAAGTTGTGGTTTCAGTCTGCAGCTGCAATAGGCAGTGACTTGGCTTTTTCTGTACCTCCAGTTGAAAGGTAATCACCATTTTAGGATTTAAAACCCCACATTCTGTCGTGCAAAAAAAAAAAAAAAACCCCAGATAAATCCCTAAAATGTCTTGTTGAAACCACAAGTGGATGCTTCATCTTGCAGGAATGCTCTGTCCTCTGTTTCCACTCTGCATTCCTCTCACCATGTTGGAGAAAATATCTAACACACTGCAGGAACAACTTGTCAGCACTTTTCGGTTCAAAATCTTTCACCATGTCAAAACTCAGGAAGGAGCAGCTAAACCTTGACCACAATGTTTTCAACTCTTTTTCAGATTGTTGCGAAAGGTTAGAAAAGTTTCTCAACCCATAAAGAAAATGTTGAGCTCCGCTTAAAACAGGACAACCATTGACATTTTTGGTGGTTTCACAAGGTGATACACAACAGGAGAGCTAAAATGACAATTTCCACCGTTGTCTGTCAATTTATGGGCCAAACAGTTAGTGGCTGATGAATCGATGGATTCGGTTCAGAGGCAGACCCAGCCGCTGTGGTACCACTGCTGCCCGCACCCGCTACAGGTCACAAAAGTCATCGCATCCTCACCGGGGCCACCGCTCCTCACCCACGCAGGCAAGAACAGGGCCCCCCTGGACACCTGCGTCACCCTACAGTCCGATCCTCCGCACCTTTTGCAGCGAATCTTCTGCGTCTGCGTCCCCTCTATCCCTTGAGGAAGCTGCCTCTCGCTCACCCCCCGGGAGGAGTACTCCTCTCTGAGCTGGCGGAGGTCTGCGCTCGCCATCTCCTCTGCTGACATCCGGGCGAAGGCTTCAGGCGACAGGGAGCCGCTCAGGAGGCCCTGACGCAGGTGACCGTTTTTAGGATTCCTCACGTTGGCCACCTTGCTCCTCACACAGGTTTTGTATTTGACTTGATTGGATTTGTGGAGGTCATGGATGCGCTGCTCGATGTCGCCCGCCAGCTGTGCAGCCATGTCCTGATCGGGAGGCTGAGGGCGGAGGGCAGCGAGGAGGAGCTGAACACATTTGGTTCTTACAGATGGGAAATCAGAGGATGCAGATGTGCTCTCTGCAGTAAGAGTCTGGAGGCCATCTTTTTCCACTGGGGGTGATGCTTCTTGCTTTGAACCTCCTCCATCCTCATCCTCATGTGATGAAGAGGCTGTGCATTTCACTCCTCGTGTATCTCTGCTGTACTGTCTCTTCCACTTCGACAACAGGCTCTTGACCGTCTTCTTCACACTGTCATCAGAGCAGGTTCTCAGGACTCTATAAAGAACTTTGACAACGTCCGTCGTTTCCAGCTGCTCTGCCGTGATCTCCGACTTATCAAGGTCACCAAGGAGGGTCAAGATGTTCCCATAGCTTCTGTCTGCAGCGAATTTCTCTATCTGCTGGGCACAGTGAACTATTTCTTTGGCATCCATGGTGGCTACAGAGAGATCAACTAGTTAGCATCATTATTTAAAAAGATAAAGATACCTAACTTTTCAGAAAAAGTATCAATAAATACAAATATGTAACTTAATGTGCAGGCTTTTGCCACTGACTGCAAAAGCGACGTGGTGTTTTCCTGATGCTCTACTCAGCAGTATGCAACATGTTAAAACATTACCTTCTATGTGTTTGTGTTGATTTACCTCATCTCCCTCATGGTTTACAGCTTCTTCACACAAGCAGCAATCCTTAGAAAGCGTCTACACGGGAGCGGCCATGTTGAATGTGGCTTCAAAAGAAGCAAAATGACCTGAACTCCCCACTAGATGGAGCTACAGCCTCATAGAATCAGAAGCCATGGATGTGCTCACAGAGGGTTAGGGTTAGCTTTTCAGTCAGTTTCTAACAATGGAACTAAATGTACCTCTTTTCATTTACCTGTCTGTTTGTTTGTCAGCAGGATTACACGCAAAGAGCTGAGCTGATATGCACCGAACTTGGTGGAGGGTTGGGTGAGAGACCAGGGAGGAACCCATTACATTTTGGGGCAGATCCAGATCATTTACTATATTCTTTGAAGTCTGGTCTATGTTGTAAGTTATTTAGATCTAGACAGACAGACTAATGTAAAAATGCCAAATGTGAGCATCACTAAAGGGAGCATCATCTTGAATCCTATACTCATCCTCGTCCTACTTTGTGACGTGTTGAATCTGTTATTACACCACAATAATAGGCAGGCCTTGCAGTTGTGCTGGGATTCTGTGAATTGTCTCAATTGCATTGCAGGATTATCTCTTTATGTAAGGATTTAGGCGTGTGCAGTAGGCCATTCAGGTTATTCCCTTTGTGACGACAGGTATTCAGAAACCTGGTTTAACTTCCTGTGTGAATGCATAGGAAGAGCTGAGGGTGTGACTCAGTATTCCACGGATTAAAGTAATCAATAAAGAGATCATTCTGAGTATGTTCATGCATTCATCTGTGCGACTGTGCCCGTTCTTTACTTTTTTGTCTGGATAGTTGTGGTACTGATTTGCATGAGACGTAGAGGTGGATGTTTGGGGTCTGCGTGCACAAACTTGCAGCCCTCGCACACAAAACTGCCAAATAGCCGCTAGACAAGAATTCAAGAGTGGAAGGTTATCTCACAAGCTGAGACAGGCCTTTCAGCTGTTGTTGCAATTGCATGTTATGAAGGAAGAAGATGAATGAGTGCGTGGGGATAATTCGTGGTTGTGGAGCTGTGACGAGAAATCTTTCTGTGCATTAAAACCACAACAGTGGACGGACTACTTTGCAGGTGGTTGTTGTTGTGCTCTAAGAGCCAGTGAGATAGAAATCCTCCTTGAAGGTGAGAGGTTCTAATGTAATAATTTAACATTATTTGAATAGGAATATTTGATAGTAATGTAACGGAATATGGCAGCCAAAACTGAGTGCAATTTAGGGACTGTATGAAAATGTCTAGGCTAACGAGGGAGGCTATTGTAAAGGTGATAACTCATACATGGTGGTTTTGCCAATAGTTTTGCCAGAGTCCAGTTTGCAATCTGTACAAATGTCCCTTTAGCTGGACTCCACTGACTGTGAATGGCTGCCCCATGTGGATTTAACACTGACATAAAGTTAGTTCTATATCAAAAATGACCTTTTAATTCAGTGATGCACATTTAATAGCGGCACCATATTTCAAAGTGCGCTCCCAGCGAATTATATATGATATCATTCACGCACAGATACCTCCATAACATAAATAGATGAGCAGGGTGCCATTATGTAACCGGCAGTATGACATCATCCTCTTAACCTTATATTAAAAAATTTTTCTTCCAAGATTCAGATGCAGCTGGGGCCAGTAGCAGTGGAGACCCTGAGGGAAAACTGATACAGTCTCTTCATGTAATAGCTTCTGGCTCTCGAGTCTTCGAACAGCAGCTTTTAAAAAGTTAAAGCTTCCGGGAGGCTTTTAGCAGAGTTAATGTCTAACTATCAGGAGTTTTCCGTCAGCGATGTATAGCAATGTGCAATGAAAGAGTAAAGTTTCATGTAGGTGTGTGTTGTTTTCTGTTTGCCATTTAGGTTGGAGTTGTGCTGTGACCTTTCAGTCTCAGGAGGGTTTCTATACGTCAAACTGTGTGTTGCCTTTATGTGTGTGTGTGTGTGTGTGTGTGTGTGTGTGTGTGTGTGTATTGGGATGGGTGGGGTCTGGCTGATCCTACAGTGAACATATGTAAGGGACAAAAAAAGAAAGAAAAACTTTTACCAGTCGACACACTGCAGCACCCCCGAATTTTGTTCCTACAGGCCACACATGGCTGGAATTCCCGAAAACACTCACAAGGCTCCTCGGATCTTATCAAATAATTTCACTGCAGCCTGTCTACACTTGTGTGCTCCTTATCTGTGGGAATGGAATTTTACCAGCACGCCACAGCTGTGACGCGCTGTCGCCAAGAGGTGGCGCTCTCTGCACTGTGCTGATTGCAATGGAGCTCTATGAGGAAGTGGAGTACTGCTGTATCACATCCTGCTTTTGTTGTCTCCGCCTCTTGTGCAGACCACGCCACACTTTGATGGCGTGTACGCATGAGCACACACACGCGCACGCACGCACGCACACACACACACACACACACACACACATACACACACACACACACACACACACACACACTAGCCCGCCTGAGCTTGAGAAATCCTGAGGAGGAGGGAGGCTTTCTTGTTAAAGTGATCAGTTTCTTCATGGCCAGACATTCATGACAACATGGTAAGGCCCCCCCACCCCCCACACACACAACCTGAAAACACCCCCAACACTCCAAGCACAAGTGTGGGTTGTACTGCATGAGTGTGTGTGTGTGTGTCTGTGTGTGTATGTGTGTGTGTGTGTGTGTGTGTGTGCACAGTACACCACACAACAGAATAAAAGGTATTCTAAAAAATGGCTAAATGGTGTTTTTAAGGAGAAGTATTCACATTCTTACCCTGTCATAGCATTATTCTACCTATTTAGGGACTGTACACAAATTATTCGGTGGGAGGGGTGAGAAAAAGAGGAGGCTGACAGTATGTATCATCTTCTTTTTTTTTTACTGACTTGTCCGACTTTTTTGATAAAGTAGAAAATATAAAACCCCAAATTCATATTTCAGCATTCCCTTGAAGGATGAATAAACTTAAGGAACATAAGAAAGAAGGAACTGAGAAATAAATACTTAAAAATGGTGGTTTCCAGTGTGCACGGTGGGTCATATAAAGGTGTGCTTTGTCATATCCTGTCTTTGTTATGTTTCCCATTACATTAAATCTAACCCCTAAATTTCCTCCTTAACGTTTTTCTGCATCAGAATAAGAAATAATTAAAAAAAATAATGTTAAAATTACATCATATAATTATGTTATAGTTTAGGCTTTGTTATGTTTGCTAAAATTTGAAAAACAAAAATTTAACTTCACATTACATACATGCATAGTGGTTCATGTGAAAGTTATTATTTGATAAATATACAAAGGTTTGAGGGAGATTACGCAATGTGAAATTCCCCAGGTAAACAGTCATACAGTCCCTTACTGAATTTGTATTTAGTTGTTATCATCTATGATGCTGATGATGAGGACGGTATGTTTTCTTTTTTTAGGAGTTCACAATGGCTGCAAAAACACACACACACACGTGACGAAAATCAGCCTCTATTGGGGGGGCATTTGCTTGGCTGCTCCCTACCCACCACACCCACCAACCCACTCACCATGACCTTGAGGGTGATCACAGATGACTGGAGTGGAGGCTGTTTTTTTTTTTCCCCCTCTGTGCGTTTCGTTTCTGCCACAGGGTCGATTCTGTTTTGACTGACACTCTGCGAGGTTTCTGTGTTTCTTCACTTTCTATTTTAAGGGGTTTGTACGACAGACAAAGTGTCACAGTCTTAAGTTGCAGCTTGCAGGATATGAGATTCCACCCAAACATGCAACCACAAGAGGTAACAACAGTTCAGTGTTTTGTCTCTGCTCTGGCTGATCATAATATTATCCTTCCCTGATAACACTCTTGTCAAAGCCAGAGACAATAAGGAAGCACAATGATATCAGCATGTTGTTGATGGTGTTTTCAAAGACACAAACACAAGATACAGTAACACTTTTCTTTTGATTGCGGGGGGAAACGGTGCAGTTCACGTTGCATCTCGAATTTCTCAACACTTCTGGTGATGTGATGCAACACTTCTGTTGGCAGCAGTTTGTAAAGGAAAGTAGAAATCATCACATGTAGCTAAATAACTAGCTCTGTTTGACTTTTCTACCAAAGCAGTGACACGAAATGTCAAAGAAAATATAAGTATTGATTTTAAAACTATTCTCACACATGACTTTGCACTCAAGGACCAATCCTCTGTGGTTATGACCATATGTTCCCTCCGGTGCACAAACAATTATCCACATTGATTCATCACATTTTTTTTTCCCATGAAACCCCCACCGCTCTCCCACACACACACATGCTCTGCCTCATGGGAAATCTGCCACCAACAGACCCCAGGGTTCCAAATAACCACATCCTCCCCACGTCGCTCGCAGTTGTGCAGAATCTACCGGACCGACGTTTGTAATGTGATCCCCGGAGGAGGGGTGAGGCTCACAGTGTAAACTGTGCACAGGTGTGAGGGGGTGTTCACTGCCCTTTAGTTTGGGTTCAGCTGTGTGTGTGTGTGTGGGGATGCTCAACTTCAAGGGGCACCAAATAAGCATCTCAGTTCTTCCAAGTGATCATAACTGATAAAGTGGTCCGAAATGACCCACATAATGCAAGTATTTATGGGTAAAAACAGATATGCTCACACCTGATAACCAGCTGTTATGTTTGGAGAGCAAACACATGACTCATAGTCACCTGTTATTACTGGGATCAGATATCTTTCATGACATACAGTGTAATGTTGGCAACAACGACAAATTACCAGACTTTGGTTCCCAATAAACAAGTATGTGGTAACTCATGAGACTTTTGCACCAGAACCAGACTGTAAACTCAAAGCAAGACGACAAAACCTTTGAAGAACAGTGGCAACCACAGGAAACTTAATTTGTCTTTTTATTTATTTTATTTTATTTTGCTTTGCTTTGCCTTATTTTTTAAAAATCTGGTCCCGTCCACACATTTTACAATTTGCTCTAATTATTAGTTACTAGTTGTAATTATTAGAGTAAATTTTTGGCTTGATTTTAGTGGGTTTTTTTTAAACATTTTATAGTATTTATATTGCAACATTATTTA